AAGACAGACACTATGTACAGTCAATACTATATCACACAACTTTGTTACACTCAATCTTTGTACATTTAATTGCGGGAGTTGTTTAAAGCTTTCTAGTGATGATGCCCCTACTGTGCTTGGTGGCAACGAGTTCCAGTCTACGATAGTTCTGGGGGAAATACGAGTTTTTGAACACCTCAATTCTTGGTTGATAACTCTGATATTTGAAGGCATGACTGTTTCTCGTTCTTTTCCGGGCTGGTATCAGATACTTAGTGTTTGGTACGTCCACCAGTTTATTAGTCATTTTGTACAGTCTGGACATTATACATCTGTCTTCCAGCGACCCCCACTGTAGGTTTCTTTTCATTTCCGTTACACTAGCACCCTTTTGATAGTTGTTATAGATAGATAGATGTCATGAACTGTTAGTATGAACTGTGTTTCTGTGGATCGCTTAGCTCTAAACCCATGCTGGTAGTCCGTCAATATGTTGTGACTTTCTAAATGACTTGGCTATGGACGATGTGTTCAAGCAGTTTACAGGACACACAGGTCAGTGAAACAGGTCTGTAGTTGCTGGGGACTGCTCTATCTCCCTTTTTGAAAATGGCGCAAATATTTGCCTCCCTCCAGTCTTTAGGTATCTCTCTGGTATTCAACGAGTGTTGAAAAATACAACAAGTGTTGAAATGTACAGTAAGTAAGTAAGTCTTTCCAACAAGCACAATGAACGATGGACCACGGCTGAATGTTTCATCTTAAGGACTACGACCCGGGATTCAAACTCCCAAGCTATTGGTTGAGAGGCAGGGTAACCGTTGCAAACCACTGGACTATGCACGCTAGCTGATCAACTACCAGTACTGCTAATGCTAAGGTCACAATTTCCAACCTGGGGCCTGGCTGGGAACAAAAAGTATGATATTAAAGAAAACATGACACAAAAAATTGAAAAAACCTATCGTAAGGACTATTTTTGAAATAATATTTTTGATATAATTTGTTATGGGTTCACCACACCACGAAGTGGTGGTGAACCCATATTGCTTTTTCTGATGTTTCTTCTCCTCCTTCTCCTTCTCCTTCTCCTGCCATTTTTTAAATGGATTCAGCTTCTTCATTTTAGGGCCTAAGGTCCTGAAATTTGGTATGGAGGTACAGTGGGCAAATACCCCTAGGCGTTTTTTAAATTTTTGTGATACAGGCTTTTAGAATGGTTTTATTTGAGTTTTTTGGCTGTGTTATAGCAAATGTATTACTGAGTTAGTGTGCAGTGTTACCACATTTGGGCATGACTCATCACAATGGAATGCAGGGCATCAACCAATAGGCATGCAGCTTTCCTCTATTCTCCTTGCTGATTGGCTGTTGGAATTTAACAGGCTTAA